CTTGCGCTGGGTTGATTTTTCCTACCACAACAGATTCCTGTCTCTGTCATTTCCCATCCTGCTGATGGTTTCCTGTCCTGAAGGCTGGTTGCCCGTCCCCACCATGGTCGCCCATCCCAGTGATATTTTCCCAGCCCCGCGATGGTTTCCTTTCCCATCCCCACCATTTCCCATCCCACACCTGATTTTTGGAGGGAGGTGAATTTCCTGTGCAAGGGGAAGGGATGGGGTCGGCACTGGTGGCCCTGCCATGCCACCATGTCTGTGCTGCCCCATCCCGCCCCGATGGTGGGGATGGGGTGCTTTTGGGTTGTTTTTGTCCTCCCCCTCTCTACCCCAGGGAGGCAACTGCTGCTCCCAGCTGTGGCGGAACCGGTGCCGGTACCGCGTGGCCCTGATGGGGAGCCATCAGGGAAATTTGGCAAGCGGCCCGCGACCTCGCCGCCCCACTCACTCTCATCAATGGTTAAGAGTGTGGACACCATGGGAGCCAGGATGGCATAGAGGACATTGTCACCACTGGCGTGGACCTCCGTGACCACCTCCAAGGGGCCAGTGCCCTCCGGCACTGTCACGGCCCTCTGCGACTCGCTGCAGGCAAGGCGGGCAGTTTGACATGGCCTGGTGTCACCAGCACCCCCCACCCAGCCTGGCCCCACTCACAGGAAGGTGACACGGGGACGGCGTGATGGCAGCACCTCCATCCTCACGACCCCACTGCACTTGTGCCCATGGCGGTCCATCAGCTCAATCTCCAGCCTGAATGTCTGCGGGACAGTGCCGGGGCGGCCATGGGACAGCGGCCCGTGCCAACCGAGGAGAGAGGCTGGGAGGCAAAGCATAGCATGACAAGAGGAATTCTGGCATTCATGCCTATGAGCTGTCCCATTCACTCAGGGGCACCCCAAATGCGGCCGTACCCATGGTTCTTCTAGCTTTCAAGTGTTCAGGTCCAACGCCATTTGACCAATCGCTACTTAACACACACGCAAGCTGCTGCTTTGCAAAGCAACTCTCATTCTGTGGCGTCGTCATCCACCTGCGTCTGTCTTGATCCAGGCGTCCCTGCAGTCGGTCCTGCTGCGGTTCCCTATCTCTGATGCCAGATGAGGGGAGGGTTTCCCGGAGGCGTCGGAGGGGCTGGGACGCTGGCGTGATCTGGGTAGTCCAGGGGTGTCCTTTCCTCTTCAGGGTGGGGGCCGTCCTGCTCCTTGCAATGAGCTGGGGTCCCTTAGTCATGCTGACTGAACCATGGCTGTGCAGTGTACAGTGTCAACTAGCTGTATCTCTCTCTCTCTCTCTCTGTCACTTCAGGAACTTGATCCAGTTCCATCCTCTGCAGATGAACTGGTGCCATAGCTGGGGCACAAGATTTTCCTACGGGAGCCCCTGGGGTGTCCCCTTGTCGGGGACCCCGGGAGGTACTTGTGGGGGGGTGTGGTTGTGTGTCCGCGCGGGGTCGGGGCTGCAGGTACTGGGGGCAATGGCAGCAGCGTGGGGTGGGGATGCTGTTCCAAGTGCAAGGGTGGGCTTCAGAGAGAGACCAGACACAGGGGGGCTGGCAACAAAAGCCGAGTGGAAATTAAAGAAGAAAGAAGAGGGGAGAGGAGAAAGAGGGAGGAGGAAGAAGAAGAAGGGGCTATGGACAAACAGATATGTTTCTATTATTAGATTTGATTTGATTTTTCCCACCAACCCTTTATGTTACTCTCCGGTACGTGCAGGTGTCCCTTTGCAATATATCTCTCCCGTTTTGAAAGGATGGAAAAGATGGTGGAGTTTGCAAGGAGCTAGTCTGAGGACAGCAGCGCATGCCAGCGCCGGTGAAAATCTACAGCGTTCAAACAGCCAGGTGGACATCTAAATCCATGCCCTGGAAGACAGAAACGTAAGGAGGAAGGCAGTCGCTTGTGGCACAGCCACAGCCTTCCTATCTGAAGGAACGTGCCGCCAGAGGGCCCCCAGTCCTCCTCGACGCCGCTGTGAAGCAACGGAAGCTTTCGGAGCAGGAGGCGAGGCAGAGCTGTAAGCTCGGCATGCCTGGTGTTCCTGGGGTGGCCATGGCAATTCTGTGCTGAGGAGGGTGCCAGGGGCAGAGCTGCATCTGCAGAGCTCCTGCGGGCGACTGGAAGCTCCGGAAATAAAGCCCCTGCCATCCTGCAGTTCCCAAACGGAGCTGCAATTAATAGGTAAAGCCAAAGTGAGCTACAGTGTGGTGCTTAGTTGCCGGCTGGCGTTAAACCACGACAGGAGCGCAGAAGACCACCTCCAGATGCAAACCTTTCTCCTGCCAAAGCCATTGGTAGGCAGCTGGAGGGGACAAACCCAAGGAATTCTCCCGCCAGAAGGAGCACGGCCAGCTGGAAGGGCAGAGGAGCAGACGTGTGACCTGCCTGCCTGCTGTGTCCCCACATTCTTCCCCAGTCTCTGCGGTGCTGCTTATAGACCATAAGTGTTTGCAGAGTTTGGCTGCAGGCACTGACACGGGGGCAACGCTAGGCAGAAGGGTGTGTTGTTTCACGTCCCCCAATGAGTTCAGTCAAGGCAAAACCTTTGGAGATACCTGTCCAAAGTCCCCTGGGCGTCTGGGGCGTTTCCTGTCACCCTGGCCTTATTAAACAGGTTTCTCCTCCCCTTTAGCTGGGGAAAGGTGGGGAGCAGCAGTAGGCGGCTGACCGTACGTGGGTGGTGAGGAACAAGAGCAACAGAGAGGGCTAGGGTTTGAGAGGGTCTCTGGTTTTAACGTGACCTCCAATCAGAAGCGTCTTCAATCACGACTCTGCATCAGGGCCTGCGAGAGAGCTGTAGGCACCACAGCTGGAGCCACAGTAGCCCTCAGCAGAAAGAAGACGACAGCGTGTCTTTCTGTGCCTCAGAAAGAAAGGCCCGACAAGAAAGGTCTTCTGAAAGGAGATGTTTAATGAGAGAACTTCTTTTCCCCCCTTCTGTTCTAACTCTGTCTGTGGTGGGAGTCTGCTGCCTGATAGGAGTCCGCTGCCCTGTCCGTGTTGGCCTTCATGCGTGCTGCCAGGCAGGAGAACGTCCGTCCGCTGGAAGTGCCCTCCAGGCTGAAGAGGTGCTCCAGTAAGGAAAGGCAGCAGCTCTGCTGCAGCAGCCAGGCTAGCCTCTTCCTCCTGCCACACAAGAGAAACTGCTGGGCCCGCAGGCACCGGACACCCGGCCCGGAGGCAGGGCGGCCGATAAGCCGGGTACACCTCCCTGGAAGCAAGGGAGCTGCTGGAGCGAGGGCTGCTGGAGCGGAAGGGGGCAAACAAAGAAGTGCTGCTGGGGGAAGCTGACCGCTCGAGAGGGCGTCTTGGCACTACGGCGCCGGGGGGCCAAGCAAAGCCGGGAACCGGCAGGAGAAGGGCTATCGCCCTCGGAGCTTCCTCATCCTCACACCTCCCCTCCACCTACTGCTCCTTCCCCATGGCCTGCTCCTGCCTCCAGACCCCCTGCCCCTCTTCAGCCTCTGCTCCCTGCTTACAGCTCGCTCTTCCCAGCCACCACCAACCCCCTGCCGCAGCCAACACGTGCCGGCAGACGCATCCCCAGCTGCAAGCTGCTTTTTGCCCAAGGGCGTGCTTTGTTCCCATGACTGCGCAGGGAGGGAGGGAGTGTGGGGCTCTGCAGTTCCCTGTTCTACCCGGACATGGCTCCTTAATGCCTCCGTCCGGCTAAGGCCTATGCGTCCGGTTAGGTGTGGCCTGAGGTCCAGGCGGGTCTGGGCCCGGATGCCTGGGACCAGGCAGGACATGGCTCTTCCTCCCCTGAGCTCTCAGTTCTGCTTCTCACCGGGCTTCCTGCGGAAGGGAGGATGCTCTTCTGGCAGCAAAGGCGGCACACGGCAACTTTTCCACCTGAGACTTGACAAAGGCTCCGAGGGAGGTCCGGGGGAACTGCCTTCTGAGCAGGCGCAAAGCCTCCCTGATCATTTTCTTTGCCAGCTTCACACGTCCCATACGACAGCAGACCTGCATGGGGAAAGGGAAGCATCCCGATGTGGACAAGTTGCCCAAGAGCCTGCAGGAATCTGCCAGTGGCGGGAGATGCCAGGTTTATCCCCTGCAACTGGGGAAGACAGCCAGCTCCGTCCCCCAGGAGATCCCTCCAGAGCTCCCCATCTCTTTACCTCCCCTTTGAGGCTGAAGAAGGTGGCCTCTTCAAAGCGGGCTGTCCCATCCCCTTTCTTCTCTAATGAGTTCCTCAGGACCTCCGCTTCATTCAGCTTCAGCAGGGCCTTTGCGCAAGCACACAGAGAGCAGGTGAGCGTGGGCGCAGAGCCCGTGGCCAGCCTTGTCCTCCCCCGTTGCCCCTGGCATCTGCCTTAAGAGGGCCTGTTTCTGCCCCTGCTGATGCCCGCCCAAACACAGTCCCGCTGGCTCAGAGCACAGGCACCGGGGATCCTTCCGCCCGCCTCCCTGCTAATGCCCCTGGTGCTAAGGGCACAGTGCCCTGCGTCTCTGACTGCACAAGAGGCAAACCAGAGGAGAAAGTCAGGGTCTGACCCCAGCGTTTCCCTTCCAAGGCCCTGCGAAGGCACGCCCTGCTGCAACGGGGAAGTTGTCCTGCCCAGAGCCAGGCGCCTGAGAGGACTCCATGCGCAGCGGGTGCTGGCAAGCAGGGCCACTCACCATGTAGCTGTTGGAGACGTGCAGGTAGGCAGCCGCACACTCCAGAAGGTAGTAAAAGGCTCTGGCAGCATCGCCCATTGCCATGTAGTGGTGAGCCAAAGGCACAAGCACCGATTCCACGATGGCTCTGCATTCACACGAGCGGGCGCCGTTGTGCTGCCCCTTGGTCTTGCTGGGCAGCTCAGCTGTCTGTTCGCTCTTTGCCAGGAACCACCCTGCCGCACTAGTCAGAGGAAGAGGACAGTTCCCAGGGGAAGAAGAGAGCAAAGAAGACACGGGCATCACTCGTCCTGCTCTTTCTCCCCCCCGAGACGGCGTCAAAAGCCCTTTGTTCAAAGCAGAGCACGAGGCCACGGGCAGGCGTGACTCCTACGGGTGCTTTGTAGGTAGGGAGAAAAAGACAAGCTGGGCTTTCTGTCACCTCCCACAGGCAAACCGCCCGAGTCCCTGGGGTGGCTTTTGCCCTGCACATTTTGCAGCGCTACTCTAGGAACTGGGAAGCAAGGGCTGCTCCAGTGGAGTGTGACGATCGCTCTGAGCCCACGGGCTGCCTCGAGCACTCCCTCCTCTCCATGGCCACCTCCTCCCAGCTCCCACCCCACAGAAAGCCTCTTCCCTAAGCTAGGCTCCCAACTGGCAGCCAAATGCCAGCGCGTCCTTTGTCTCCTCTGGAGACCCTCAGCTCACTGGCTTCAAAAAGAATCAAAACCTGGTCTGCTCACCCAGCATCCTCCTCTGGGAAAGGCTGCTGCTGCTGCAGAGCATCTGCAGCACCTGCCAAGAAAACGGGGGGTTAGAGACCTCCTCGCCTGCCCTGGGCTAAGAGCTGCTCTCCCTTTCCCAGCAGGCTTGCAAGGAGCCTTGCAAGGGTCCCGACGCACTGAGGAAAGACTGTAGCGGTCGTCCTCACCTCCGGGGCTCATCCCTAGCAGATCTACTCCCACCCGCTGCCCAGCACACAGCCCTGGAGGGCCCGGGCTGCGGAGCACGGCGCACAGCATACCCTCAGTGGCGTGGGTCCTGTCCCTCTTCAGCTGTTCTCCTGCGAGCACCAAGGCCTCCCAGCTGCGTGAGTCGCCCTGCTCCGCAGGGCCCTGACAGCTCCCTCCGTCCTGGGGGCTGGTGGCGGTGAAGCGGTGGAAGGCAACAAAGTCCCCTTGGCTGCAGCTCTTGCATTTGTGCGCGTGCTGCTCGAGGAAGGCGGCACACTTGCGGTGCAAGACGACCCGCTGTCTCTCGGGCCACAGCTCGTAGGCAGCCTCCTGCAGCAGCGGGACACAGAAGGCCAGGACGCCAGACCGCTGCTCCGCTGTCTTCTTGCTGGGAGAGGGCCTCTCCGCACCTGCAAGGCAAGGGGCCTTTCATCAGCCCGAGCTGGGGCCAGGGCTCAGGGCCGGCCCAGCCAGGGCACCAAAGTCGTGCCTTGGTGCGCGCCCTTGGCAGCGAAGCAGCGCTGCTGCACACCGAGCCTTGCAGCGTGGGGCGAAGGGGCCCGGCTTGCCTTGCTGATGGTAGCACCGCCCTGGGACACAGCGCTCAGCTGCGCTCCAGGCGGGAGCTGGGGATGTTGCCACCAGCCGAAGGAGGCCTCGGCTAGCGCTTTCTCCCCGCTCTTGGCAAGGCAGCCCCCAGCCTCCTGAGCTTCCCCTCCCTGCGCCACAGGGGAATCCAAGCTGAATAAGAGCCTGTCGAAGGCCTTGGGGCACTCTGGAGGGCATCTTTGATCCGGATGCGGCAGGCGGCTGGGAGAGGATGACAGGGATCCCTACGCCCTCCCGTGCCTGCGCTACGAGCAGCGCTTGGAGGCAGGGCAGCAGGGGCACGTGGGACGGCTGGCGGGAACTTCCCTCCCGCGCAAAGCGAGTGTGCTTTGAGATTGACTTGGAAGATCTTTGAAAAACGCGTCCCCAACAGCCATGCCTGCCTGAGCTCTGCCTACCCAGCAGCAGGGGGGATGCGCACCGTGCCCTGGGGAGCCCCGCCAGGACACAGCTGGGAGCTCCCTTGTCCGCCTTACTGCTGCCACTTACTGCTCTCCGCCTCCGGGGAGGTGGCTGGCCCTGTGGGAGAATCCTGGACACCTTCTGGCACCTCTGTGTTTTGCAGCCACTTCAGGATGTTGTCGTGCACCAGCGTGTCCAACAAGCAATTCATCTTGTGCCTGAAGCCAGTGGGCAGGATGTGCGACAGCAGCTGGGTGGTAAACACTGGCCCGATGACAGCTGCAAACTTCAGAAGCATCCGCTTCAGCGGCTTTATCTGGTCCAGCTGAGCCAGCGCAATCTCTGTCAAAGAGAAGCAACACGTCTCTCTCTTGCCTCTTCCCCATGCTGAGGCTGGAGTGGCTGGAACGGTTCCGCACATGAAACGGGCTAGACTTTGGCCTCCTCTCCTCGGGACTGCGCCTGCTGGGCAAGCGCAGCCCAGGGCAGGCGTCTCCAAAATGGCTCCGCTCCTGGTGGAATCGCAGGCCAGAAGGCCTGGGGAAAAGCGAGACGCTCAAACAAACACCCCCCCACCAAGGGTGAGGAGGGCTGGATCCAGCAGGCACCAGCATCCCGTGCCGTGCCCTACCACATCTGGAGTAGGTTTTTGCCCGAGAGTGCACACAGGGAACAGAGAACTTTCCCCACCTCACAGGGGGGACTCAGAGCTCCCCACAACGGATATCTTAAGTATTCCTTTCTTTCTGAGCCAACCCACAGCAATAAAAATGGATTTGGTTAGGATTAAGTGCCTTGAGTCCAGCGTTAGCTGGGGAGCTTCCAAACAGAATAGGGAGGTGGAAGCCACGTTCCAAGTTGAGTCAGAGGCAAGGCAAAGACTTTTCCCAGCAAAGGCTTTGTTTCTGTGAGGAAAGGGCGTCGTTTTAGTGTTGCACCAAGAGCTCTTTCTCTCCTACCTGCTGCTGGAGAGCAGCCAGCAGGCTCACAGCTGGTCCGCAGCCAGGAGGGGACAACGGCTGCCCGCAGCCCCAAGCCTGTTTCTGGTGGGACCGGAGCCACCTTCCCAGCAGAGCCCCCAAGCTGAGAGGGTGACTCTGCAGCACCCAGATGCCCAGCCTCCCTCTAGCTGATGCCCCGGGAAGGGGCCCCGGCACAACCGCCAGCCGGCAAAGTGGCGCTCGGCCCCTCACCTTTCAAGGTGGCAGGCAGCATGGTGTTCTCCAGGTTCACGTCTGGTCTGACGATGCAGACCCTGCCGTCATTCCCCGCGCCGGAGCTCGAGGTTGCTGCGAGGGCTGAAGCCTCGGCCGCAGAAGCTGGGTGGAGCAGGAGAGCACAAATAAGGCAATTTGCAAAGTGACTTGCAGCTTGCAAACCTTTCAAAATGCACCTGAGATGGGACAAGTCCCACCTTGCGTGGTCCAGTGCGGGCACATGGACCTGCCTGCCCTGAATGTGGTCATTAAGCAGAGCAAAACAGTTCCCAGTGCAAGCGTTTCTTTGCGTAGCCCTCCCAAGGTGTTCCGCGTTCAGACCAGCTTTCCCAAAGAGTCCTTCGGTCACAGCTTCCAGACTTCCCAGGGGGCAACGGAGCGCCCCGGGACAGAAAGCAGCAGCATTGCTGCCTTCGACAGCACTACCTCCACACCCAGGGAATTTGCTGGTGATAATGCAAAAGGTAGCGTCCGTCCTGGCTCTTCCCCAGGCCACGGCGCTCCGGCTGGCACTGCTCTCTCGGTGGTGTTACCGCTGTTTTCTCCCATGACCAGCACCCTTGTGGGGATTTATGGGTTTGGATTGAAGTTTCCCGGGCCTGTCCTTCACCTCAAGCTGGGATTTGTTCTCAAGTGAGCCGGCGTTTGGCCAAGGTTACTTGCGTGCCCATTAGAATGCTTAAGATATGCCAGGAACACATGCGCGCTGGAACCATTTCCCCTGTGTTTTAGCCCCCCAGCCCCCGCCCCAAGAATTTAGGCCCCTCCAAGCCACCACAACTCGCTAGCCCCTGCTTTGGCTGTCCCAACAGCACGGCACGCAGGAGCCCACACCTCCGCCAGACCAAGTTCTGCACTGCTGCAAGCGCCGACTCTGCCAACATCCATGGGGGAACACCGGGGCGAGACCGTGCTGTGGAGAACGCACCACAGCAACTCGCTAGTCGTCAGCAAAGATGCTTACTGATCAGGCTCTCCCAGTTGTCCTCTGCTTTTCCACCCCGCCTCCGGGTGCGGAACAAGAGCATGTCGTTGCAACGAAGGCAGCGCAGCAGCTCCTCACAGTAATAGGGGATCCCCGAGCTTCTTTGGATCAGGAACCTGGACAGGAGTAGATCCGGCAGTGAGCAGCACAAGGAAAGTAAGGCGCAACACAGTTCCCTTCCTCCCTTCCTCCCTTCCTCCCTTCCTCCCTCTGCAAGAGCGAAGGGCTGGCAGCTCCCACGCGCTGTGAATAGGGCATTGCCCGCTCTCAGCTCACACCTGCCAGGGCGAGGCGTAACAAGCAGCCCACGGCCGGTACTCGCTAGAGCCAGTCATGCTTCTAGCAGCCCTGCGCTCCCTCTCCTGGGGGGTTGATTCCCTCCCATGCTCTGCATAGGTTCAAGCCCTCTGGAAGAGCTCCTCGAACTTACCTCGCTAGATCCCTGGGGATGCTGACCACTCCAAGGTCCTGGCAGACCTCCTGCACCACAGCGGAAGCTTGCAGCTCGTCCAGATGAAGATAGGTGATTTCCTGCGATGTTGCGTTGTCTGCTGCGGCTTTGCAAAAGCTCTCCGTTCTCGCGTAGCCTGGAGCTAAGCTCATGACCATGAAGTGGGAGACATTTCGGAGCATGCGTGACATGATAGACCAGGAGGCAGTGTCGATGAAATGGGCGTTGTCGATGACAAATATGCCAAATTCTCCTCCAATGACCTGAAAAAAGCAGGTTGTTCTGAGGGGAACCCGGTGGACTCTCACGTGTCTTCCAGGGGAGGAGATTTAGCCTCTGTCTCTTGAGAGGATGCTCGGAGGTCTCTCCCCAACCACTTCCCTGCTCAGAAGCTTACCGACTCTTAATTTCTTTGAGACTTGAAGGTCACACCTAGCATCACTTGCCCTGCAGAAGGAGGGAGCTTGGGCAAGGGAACGCAGAAGACATTGTTCCTCCTCCAGGGCCACTTTCCAGGAGGAAAGTTATTGGGTGTGTTTGTGGGGCTGCGGGGGGGAGGCGGGGGCTTTCTCAGGCCCTGAAGGGCGATGACGCAGGCGCGGGGTCCTCCCGGCGGCTCACACTGCTGTGGTACAGAGCCCACAGGCGGCAGGGTGTTGTCCTTCTCTGACCCAGGAGGAAGGAAGGAAGGAAGGAGAAATGCTCACCTTCTCAAGCACCTTCACCCACGTCGACTGCAGTTCTGCTTTTCTTTGCATTTCACACATCTCGCGAACCTTGTCCGAAACAGGAAACTGGCCAGAAAAGCAGCAGAGTCAGGGAGCAACATCGCTCCGGGGCTAGGCACACCTACCCGCCAAGCAAGAGCGCAGAGCAAACCGCCTCTGCTGGCCTCGGCACCTCAACTCTCCCCAACAGAGGTGCAAGGAGCCCCAGTGGGGCCTTCACCTAGAGCCTAAAGCAGAGGCTGAGGGTGTCTGGCAGAGCTGGGGCTTGGGGGTGGCCTCAAGAGCTGGTTCTCTGGCTGCAGGAATCTTGGGCTGGCTGGAGCAGACCACTCGCGCAGTGGTGACCTCAGCACGAGGTCAGCAACAGCCTCTCTCCAATGCCACTTCCAGGGTGCTGAACAAGGCAGCGGACGCTGCCGCATGCAGCGTGGGACATGAACTCGGCACAGAAAGCGATCCCCCCCAGGCCCAGCAACGGGAAACGTGTGCTATGACCCCTGCGACTCCCACCGCTGAGCTAAGGCACTCCCAGCAGCGTGCCCACACAACGTCAGACCCAGAAAAGCTGACGAGAAGGCCTTCTCCGGAGCCAGAGAGGCCTCTCGCTCTCACCTGGACAGGGAAGATGTCATTGAGGAGGCAATAGCTGCTCTCTTCGATGGTCCCTCGGAGCTTTGTCTGCAGCACGCGCTGCTTGTCGCTGCAGTTTTCACAGTCCTGGAGGCCCAGGGCCCTGGCCATCAGCGTACGGATGGCAGAGAAGGACTGCCTGACGTTGACCTCTAGCAGTTCCATGGCAACCACCCTGCCGTGCAAAAGCAAAAGGGACTGAGATCCCCAACAGCCCAAGCCTTCTGGACAAAAGGGGTGGAGATGTCCTTGGCGGGGGCTCTTCTGCCACCCATCTCACAGTGCTTCCCAGAGAAGGCCAAGCTTCTCACTCGGCCGAGAAAGGGCACAGAGGGGCACTTGCTGCCGAGGCACTGGGAGAGCCGGGTCCAGAGCCCGTGTCTCCGCAGCGCCGGCCCAGGTCTCGCCCCGTCCCCGCTGCAGAGGAACTGACGGGGCTAAGAGGCAAGGATGGAGCAAGTGGTGAGTTTGCCTTTGGGCTCCAGACCTTAGCAGTCTGCCTGCCAGACCACAGGAAGGCTTTTCTGCCCCAGTGCTCCTTCTGGGAAACAGGCAGAGGGCAAGCAGGGCTTCTGAGACAGGCCACTGTGCTGTCTGTTGGGTCTGGAGTGGGATGAAAAGCCCTGAGCTTGGGCTCTTTCCTTCCAGCTGTGCCCGGCCCAGAGGTGAAGGAGGAAAGGCCATGGCTCGAGAAGCCACCTCCAGCTCCCCGAAGAGCTGGCAGAGCACACGGGAGCTCCTAGGGAGCGTCTCCAGGAGGCTTTTTGGGGAGGCTGCAGTCCAAGGGCCAGGCGCACCAGCAGAGGGGCTGGAGCGTTCCACGGCTGTCAGGGGATGGGCAGGGGCAGTGTCCCAAAGCTACGCATTCAAAACCCGTACGTGTGGCCAGCAGCCTGGCCTAAATAGGCCAGTTCAGTAAGTAAGTGGCTCTTCCCGGAGCCCATCGTGCCCTCAAATGCCAGGATGTGCCTTTGTCCTAAATCCTCGTAGGCTTTCAAGCAGCTGACAAAGAGGTCAATCTCCTTCTCCCGACCTGTGAAGACAAACAAGAAAACGAGCTGCTGGGGCGTGCTGACAAGCAGAGAGTCGTCCCTTGGGCTGGCACCCTCCACCGCAGCTTCCCTCCCCGCCACCACAGCCGCCAGCCTGCCTGCACCCAGGCCTCCTTCTCGCCTGCTCATCCCAGCTTTTGTACCTCTGCCTTCCTCGGAGCGGCAGCGGGAGACATTGCCCGCCTGCCCCACGGCGCAGCTCCCGTGCCCTCTTCCCCGCCTGCCCCCCTCCCCTCCCACAGGCCCAGAGATTCAGCCAGCCCCACAGTGATCCAGCAGCAGACTGGAAGGGATGCTGTGAGTCGCTGCAAGCAGCTATGTCCCAAACAGAGTCAAAGCATCTCCTCACCGTACCGTGAGCCACAGAGCACTTCCCAGTAGCTAAGGCAGTGTCTTCAGGCCTGGACTGGTTTGGGATGGGCTAGAGGTAATTTTCTTCGGTAATAGCTCGTATGGTGCTATGTTTTGGACGTGCGACCAAACATCGGTGGGGATAACACAACCGTGTTTTAGTTATTGCTGAAGAGCGCTTGCGCAGCGTCAAGGCCTTTTCCATTTCTCACGCCGCCCCGCCAGCGCGCAGGCTGGGGGTGCGCAAGAAGCTGGGAGGGGGCACAGCCGCGACCGCTGACCCCGACTGCCCAAAGGCCTATTCCGTACCATAGGACGCTGTGCTCAGCAAGAAAAGCTGCGGGAAAGGAGGAGGAAGGGGGGACATTCGGAGTATGGCGTTTGTCTTCCCGAGTCACCGTTACGCATGATGCTTTCCTGGAAATGGCTAGACACCTGCCTGCCGATGGGAAGCAGGGAGCGAACGCCTGAGTCTGCCTTGCGCGCATGCGCGGCTTTTGCTTTACCTGTGAAGCTGTCTGTATCTCAGCCCACCAGCGTTAGGGCCGCTGCAGGCAACACCATCCCTGGCAAAAGCTTCTCCCTTCCCAGCGTGGCACTAAAAGTTACCAAGGGGAAGAACCCGGGGTTCAGAAGAGCAAGGCGTTCTCTACCTACCCAGCAAGGGGACGTACTCTGACCTCTCCTTGGTAAGACCCATGCCAAACATGCTAGAAGCAGGGGAAAACACAAGTCAATTAGCTGGCGAGAAGCTAGGGGACGTAGAGAAGCAGCCTGGCCTGGAGGGGCAGGACATGCTCCTCAGGTCCCTGCTTTTCTTTCGAGCAGCGTGTTATTCTCTGCACGCTCCCCCAGCCAAAGTTCAGGCTGCACGCTAGGACAGCTTCAAGCATGCAGAAGCCCAACGGCCATGGCGGGACAGGAGAACGTATCAAGAGCCCATCACCAAAGGCCAAACCCAGAGAAATCGGAGACACGCGAAAGAAGCCGGGCTGTGTTGTTGGCTAGCAGACAGCTCTACCACATTGGGCAAGAAAAACAAGTGTCTTGGAAAGAAGGACTTGTGTCCCTGAATGGGTGGGGATGCCAAGCACCCGGCACCTTTGGCTCAAGTCTTCCTGTAGCTTCCAAGAGACGGCAATGTTACCGTTCAAACCGTCATCCAAAGAGAAGGTCAAATCCTGGCCCAGAG